ACCGGGCCTTCGAGGACATCAAAGTCGGCTGCGCCCTACGGCCATCCCGCCGGCTCTCGAGTGTCGCAGCGCGACGCGCTTCACCCCTCGACTCCGCGCTGCGAGTCGATCTGGAGCTACATGCAACATGGGAGGGCTTCGTGAAGGAAGGATTGAAAAACATTCGAACAAAGAAGAGGCGACGGGAGGAACCGGCAGAGGATGCAGTGACGTGACACACACACACACACACACACACACACACACACACACACACACACACACACACACACACACACACCACCACTCACCCACGCACACTAAACCTTGCACTTTGAATACCGTGGGGCTCCTGTCGTCAGACGTGGAGACGCGAGGGTTGCCCCCCCTTGCCCCACCACCTCGTGTGTGTGGAGAAGTTTACCTTCCCTTCCCTTCCCTTCCCTTCCCTTACCTTACCGGGTTGCACAGGAAGAAACAGCAGCGCTCGGACCGCCACTGCTGTACAATGGGTGGGAAACCCGTGAACACACACACACACAGGTAGGTAGGTAGTAAGGTGAAGAACAGCCAGGCTCGGACTGGACACCAACGCGGTATGGGTGGACGCTGGACACACACAGGAGGTGGCAATCGGTGATAGAAGGGAATTCTTATTTCGGCCTCTCGCCGCATGTCGGCTGATCCCGACCCGCACTGGGACATCAAGCTCGCCACCTTCGGCGTCGCCTTTCTTGGCTGCTTCCTCGTCTCTCTCCTCACGCGCCTCGCCAGCGATGCCGCTGGTGTCGACGTGCCGCTGCACATCCGTGAGCAGCACTCCCGACACACCTCCTGTCCCTCACCCTGCGGCCACGCCCTCCCACGCCCACCGTCACCGTGCCGCGTGGCGCGTCTTCGCTCGTGGCCCGCCCCGACACTCTCTCATGGCTCACTGCCTCGGCGTCCGGGACGCGCTTCCGCTACGGCAGGTGGGCTCGCGGTGAGCGGTCTGCACGCGATTGTGGTGGTGAGCACGGCGACGCTCACTTTCTTGCGCGGCGACGGCGACATCGGCGTCGGCGGCGAGGAGCCGCTGCTCGGCTCGCTCGGCCTCTGCGTCTCGGTCGCTTACTTTGTTTGGGACGTGCGCAACATGCTGCGGACCGGCCGCCAGCCACTCTGCTGCTACTGACACACCAAGTTGATCTCTGAAATTCACCTTGGCGTACTCAGGCCGCCCGCCGCTTGTGCCGCTGCGGACGCACCGACGCTCCTTGTTCTCACCCCCGCCAGCCTGCTTCAGGCTACCAGCCTCTCCTCCCGCTGCTCATGCACCACGTCATCTCCGGCGCGTCGATGAGCTGGATCGGCTGCTGCGTGCCGCGAGATCACCACCAGGTTGACCGAGGCTTCCCGAGAGTAGGCGCGTCGATGAGCTGGATCGCCTGCTGCGTGCCGCGCGCCGTCTGGCACACGTCCCTCCTGCAGATGTCCGTGCGAGGCGACCCTCCAGTTGCATGATCAACTACTCCCCGAGTTAGGTACACCTGCATCCTGCAGATGTCCGAGGCGACCGTACCCGTCAACAACCTGGTCACGCTCTGGGAGTGGCGCGGTGCGAGCGCGCCTTAAAGACCCTCCCAGCACCTCCGAGACACACTCCACTTGCACCGCTGTGGCTCCGCTGTGGCACCGCTGTGGCACCGCTGTGGCACCGCTGTGGCACCGCTGTGGCACCGCTGTGGCATATCACCGCTGTGGCACCGCTGTGGCACCTCCGAGGCGCACTCCTCGCCCCGTCGCAACAGGCGCGCACGACCGGCCGAGCTACACGCTGCTGCGCTGGCTGCTGCCCGCCTCCAAGGCGGCTAATTCCCCGGACCCCATGGTGAGGGAGGGTACGCTTGTGAGTCAGGCTGCTGCTCGCCGCGTGGCTGCCGATGCGGCTCCTCCTCATCGCATACTTCCACGTGCCTGCTCCGCCGGGCGTGGGGCCGGAAAGGAAAGAGGGTCGGTGGAGCGCACGAAAGGAGGGCTTGCGAGCAGGTGCCGGTCTACCGCGAGTGGAGCGGCATGAGCCTGCCCATGCACATACTCGCCCTCAACGGCCCGCTCTTGCTCACCTTCAACTCAGCGGCACTCGCTAAGGTCCGTCGCAGACCGGCCAAGATCGCCACGAGACCGCGCGAGATGACGCGAGATGGCGCGAGGCTGCCCGAGAGGAGGCAGTCGCGACCCGTCACGCCCCCCTCCCCCTGAACAGCTCCCTCTCCACGGCTCCCTCTCCACAGCTCCCGCCCTCTCCACGCTCCCGCCCAGGTCGTGCTCGACGGCTTCCCGTGGCTGGCGCGAAAGGGGGGCAAGGGCGAGTGACGCGGCGGCGCGTCTCATGAGCCGATTGGGCGGCCTGCCCGGTGGTCAGCACCGCGCGCCACGCCAGGCGAGAGACGCGCGGCCCCCCGGCGTTGCCGCCCCCGCGGTTCTGGCCCCTCTGCTCTCGGCCCGCTGCGGTCTGCAATCTTGCGGTGTGGGTGTTGCGTGCACGTGCACGGGTGGCGTGAGGGCGCACGTCGGGCTCGTCGCTTCTGCCGGCGCGTGGTTGCCGCTTGGGGTGGCGTTTGAAACGTGCACGATCGTCCTCGGCGGACCGACTGAGGACGTGCTTCTGAGTTCTGTGTTTGAATTCCGTGATCGAATGCTCGAGAATGTGCTACTGGCCGTCCGTCTACCCGACCGTCGCTTGTGTAGCGCCACACCGACTAGTCTACCCTCTCAGATCCATGTGCATGTGTGGGACTGCGCTGCTGTACTTTAAAGACGTATTTTGCGGAGACAGCGCGCCCCGCTCCACGTCCACCTCGCGCGCGGCAGGCCTAGGCTGGCCGGTTCTCTTTTGCGGTATCTTGATGTATCTCTCCATATCTGACCGTATCCCGCCATATCCCGCCATATCCCGCCATATCCCGCCATATCCCGCCATATCCCGCCATATCCCGCCCGCCTCACGCCGAGCAGCCCGGCCTCTCTCCGCGCTCCGGCCGCAGAGCGCGACGGATGGCTCGTTGTGCGAGTATATGGGCCACGATGTCTCAAATATGAGGGGGTTTGACTCCTACCGGCTCCTGACGCTATCCCTGGCAGCTCTAATGACCGGGATCAGTAGTGCTATGATAGAGGGTGCCCATACTAGCGCAGGAGCTGCCACACTCGCCCGGACCGTCCCCCTCTGGGGCCGGTTCCGCAGCCAGCGAGAGCCGACAGCGGGGCCGTGCCGCGGGTGCCTACTGCCGAGTGCCACAAACACTGCGCCGTCCCGCCACCACCTACAGGCTGTCTTGTGTGATGGTTGGGATGTCCAAACGCCACCATCTTGGCTCTTGCGACCTCAAACCCGCGAGCTGTATGGGTGGTCCTGACGTCGACAGACGCCCGATGACCACGGTGAAGCTGAGCCGGAACGCGTCGACAAGTCTCGTCTGAGCCCGTGGCGGTCGCCGGCTGAGTCGCTGTGCACGGGCCGGTACCTCAGGCGTCACCTCCGCAGCCTCAGGTCTCACACTCCATCACCTCCGCCAGGACGCCGTCGGTGGCACGTTCGGCGGCGAGTTTGTTGCAGCCCCACAGCGAGCGCGGCGTCGAGCCTAATCGGTCTGGTCGGTTCGCGGCACTCCCTGGGTGCCAGGGAGTGCCGCCGACACGCGAGCGGTGCTTCCTGGCAGCGCGCGCCGGCTGTGGGGCTGCAACAAACTCGAGACACGCTTTTTGGGACATTTTCGACGCTTTTGGCCCATACTAGTGTGGGACCTGCGGCGGTACCCGTCTCTGTTGTTCGGGCAGTGAGAGACGCAGGATCTGCACGCCAAAGTGGCGCCACTCCGCATTTGCATTTTGGTTTTGGGTTGTCGGAGATCATCCATCAGCACTCATGTCTCATCAGTCAGTCACGTCAGTCAAAGCAGTCGTGGCACTCATCAGTCAGTCACGGCAGTCAAAGCAGTCGTGGCACGTGGAGCAGTCGCTGCATGCAACGGCGCCGCCACACGCTCCGGACGACCCCGACACACACCGACACACCACGCACATTGCGCCCCGTGGTGTTGTGAGGGTGTGCTGGGAGCAGCTTGACCTCCCAACCCTGACCGCCAAACACCTGACCGACTGCGACGTTGCGCACGGCGTTCACCCCGCGTGGGCCGTTTGCTCCGCTCACATCGATGTAGAGGCGGCTCCCATCTCTCCAGTGGTCCAGGTCGACGACCAGCTTGTAGTGATGACCCCCTTCCCACCCGACCGAGCCCATCCTTACGCTGGGGACCAGCGAGCACGGAGCATGCGCCCAGGCGGGCGACCAGGGCATGTCTGTCCCGTCCTATCGTCGGCGGTCGGCGGGCACCGCACTTTGCCGTTGTGGCGGCAGAATATTTTTAGTGCGGACCGATAGCGAGTACGCGGCGGCATGCATGATGGGGCGGGTGACCCCCAAAACGAACAGACAGCTAGCGGAGCGCCTTCGTTCCCTCTGGCGACGCCTTCGCGCCAAACACACCGTGACGTGGAGGCATGTGGCGGGTCACAGCGGCAACGGGGCCCTCTGGGGCGGTCAAAACCGGACCTCCCTACCTATTGCATGGGGTCTAACCGTAGGCAACAGACCCCCTATCTGGGTAGGAGCCGGAACCCAGGTGTGTGTTCTTCTGGGCGGGCCCCAGGGGTTCGGGAGGGGGGTGAGATCCTCCGGAAGGCGGCCCCCCAGGGTTCCGGCTCCTAGCCGGATAGGGGGTCTGTTGGGACTGACTCGCGCCAAAACGCCCTACGTACCTACCTATCCCCAGGCCGCGCAGCGAAGCGAAAAAAGATGAAAATACAGTAGGGGGTACCTATCTATTGCAGGGCCCTTTTGGGCCAAACAAGACCAACCTACCTACCTATCTGGGAGGGGCCAGCCAGTCCGCACAGACCCCCTATCCGGCTAGGAGCCGGAACCCCAGGGGCGGACGTGCTACAGAACAAGCTGACGCGGGCCCAGTACCTCGGCAGGAATGTGGGTCAGTTTCGACGACCCGCTCGCGCTCCTCTCCAAGGTTCTCGCTCCGCCATGGGAGGGCGAGCAGCCGGATGAGCTCCCGCACACGTGCAAGCCGGCGGCGTGGGAGCGGCAGCATGCCTGCTCCCGGGATTGGGAGCACGACCTGCTCTGGTGCGGCCGCGCAGAGGGTAGTGTCGCCATCCACCGCTTCAGGCTGCGAGATCACGTGTTGGCTCGGGAGCTCGCGGCGGGCATGCAGGCGCTGGCGCTCGAAGAGCGCTCCCGCGGCAGCTCTGGCGATCAGGCCTCGAACGTCGGTGGCTTTCATGGCGCCCGCGACCTGTGGGAACGGCCCGAGGTGCACGAGACTGGGCTGCCGCAGCTCGTGCGCTGCGCCGTGCGCCATGCGGCGGCCGCCGAGGCGGCGGCGCTGCGGCGGCCACCGATCTTCACCACGGCAGACGAGGCATGGTGGAACGCGCTGCCGCCGGGCTGCTGGAACGCGCTCCACACACACGCGGGCAGCACCTACTCTGGCGTCGTGTATGCGAGCGGCGGCAGCCCGCGTGGCAGCCTCGCCGGCCGGCTGGCCCTGCTGCCGAGCGCGCCTCAGTCGCTCTCGCCCGA